TTAACTACCAGTTTTAATGGTGATTTCTTGTAATACACTTTTGCATGAAACATGAACGTTTCAGAGCTAAAGTGCATTATAATGCTAGATTTAATACTACTTTTAATAATTATCATGAAGTTGCTTCAGAACCCTGCCACTATTACAAATGGAAATATTAAAAATGACCAAAAGGAATATTTAATAATCTTATGTGTATTATAGCTGCTTTAGAAAGTTATTATATAGTGAAATAAAAAAATATTACAGGTATTACCAAAAATCTGGATATTCCTTTGCATATCTGCAAGCTAAGCTCTTTCAATATAACGATTTCCCATATCTAATGAAAGGTTTTTTTTAAAAAAAAACACAGCCCATTATTAGAAGAATTTTGAATTAAAAGTAATAGATGACTCCAGCATTTACTGCTTTTCAGAAGCAAATATTATAAAGAAACAAAAATGGACAGTTCTAGAGTTTCAGTAAATCTAGTCTTTTGGATAGACATATCTGAGGAAATGTCATTGTAAAATATTTTAAATTCAGGGCATGATTATATGTGCAGGGGAATGATCCAAGGGGCACACCACCATCCCTCAAAGGAAGCAATCCTCCAACTGGCTCAAAGCTGGGGCAAATTTTAAAGAGAAGATGCTTCCTCTTCCTTATACAGCAATCCTCCAGCTGGCTCACACATACATCTTCCCCATCAGAGAAATTAAGGGAATCCTACCTCCCTTTCCAAACAGTGGTGAATACAACCCTGCTTTCTCTCCTTGTGCTTTTTGGAAAGGATTGGAGCACAACACATGGGAGTTGCTGGTGGGCCAGAAGGAACCTTCTGTAGGGCCAGATGTAGCTTGTGGGCTGTAGTTTGGAGACCTCTTTTTAATGTACCATAAGGGGCTGGGTAGAGTTTAATATACCAATTCTCATTAGACAGGAATCTTAAAATGAGCCTTCTAGATAGAGCTTCTATGCAGGAGTTCAGATTATGTTCCGATTCATGTCACCGGGAACATATAAATAATGAAAGCTAATAGACAATAGCTTTCAAAAGAGGTTCTTCAAAGTGCACTATGGTATTTATGAAGCCCTTTTTGAATCATTATAGCAACCATAGACTTTTCAGACTCACATGGCTGCTTTAGAAATTGCTCCTGCATTCTGCATGTACAGGCATACACCTCTGTTTTGCTTCTGTAACACATAGTGAAACAAAGCAACTATGAATGCATACAAATGCAATGACAGAAGGGAGAAGCCATTGCAAACCTGAGAAAAGACACGTTTTAATAATTAAAAAAAATACTAAAAACATTCTTGTATGCATTCCAGAGCACCTCTCTGAAGTATTTCCCCAAGATTTTAGCTTTAAATTGAAATTCAGTAAATATAGAATTTGTTAAATGTATGTGATAAAGTAGAAATACACACACACACACACACACACATATATGCAGGTGTGTGTGTTTAATCTGACATAATTTGCAGTTGCACAAATAAACACCAAACAACATATTTTGAGAATTCATGTTCTCATTATAACTTTTTGCAATTAATTTTGCTGTTTGAAAAGAACAGTCTTTTCAATTCTGGAATCATATGAAACCACTTCTATACTTTAGTCATATAAATATAGCTTAACTTGCTAGGCAGTGCTTACTTAATAATTACTCTGGATTGTTCATGCAGTACAAAAAACCCCTTATCCCTTTAATTAATAAGTAAGCTGCACTGGAGCATAATAGGAATGAAACATATTAGAGGATAGGCAATGTAGTAAGTTCCAATATATGTTTGGATTCTACTTTCAGAATGACCTTGTCATTCTGTTGTATAAATTGCTTTGCGGCTACTCACTAAATCTGTATTAGTTATTAAAAAAAAACATGATACCTAACTAAAATGTCCCACAGCTCAAAGAAAAAAGTAACACTCAATATATGTACATATAATATACCTAGGTCAGGGGTAGGCAACCTCGGCTCTTTTATGACTCATGGACTTCAACTATGCTGACTCGGGAATTCTGGGAGTTGAAGTCCATGAGTCATAAAAGAGCCGAGGTTGCCTACCCCTGACCTAGGTTATATGGGCTGATGTGAAATGGGGTGGGGAATCAAACTAGGAAGAAAAAATCAGAAGTTTGTATTGGGTCAATGCTAATTATAGTAAATATTCTTCTAAGCAAAATGTGTAACCTCTCATAAGCAACTTCAAATGAATAAATTGCAGTAAACAAATAATTTGCATTAATCAGATTTTTGTGGTTCTCAACCTTTGTAATGCCGCGACCCCATAATACAGTTCCCCATGTTGTGGTGACCCCCAACCACTTATACATCGCCAGGTGCCAGGGGCGTGGCCAAGTGGGTGTGGCCACCAAGTGGGCGTGGCCACCATGTTGTGGTGACCTCCAACCATAAAATTATTTTCATTGCTATTTCATAACTGTAATTTTGCTACGTTATGAATCGCAATGTAAATATCTGATATGCAGGATGTATTTTCATTGTTACAAATTGAACATAATTACAGCATAGTGATTATGCTTTCCTCTCTTCCTCTCTTCCCTCTCTTTCTCTCTTCCCTCTTTTTCCTTTCTTTCCTCTCCCTCTCTTTCTCCCTCTTTCTCTATCCTCTCCCTCTTTCTCTTCCCTTTCTCTTTCCTCTCTCTTTCTTTTTCTCTTTCTCTTCCCTCTTTCTCTTTCCTCTCTCTTTCTATCTTTCCTCTCCCTCTCACCCTTTCTCTTTCCTCTCCCTCTCTCCTCTCCTTCTCTCCTTTCTTTTTCCTCTCCCTTTCTCTCTTTCCTCTTTCTTTCCTCTCTTTCTTTCCTCTCCCTCTCTTCCCTCTTTCTCTTTCCTCTTTCTCTTTCTATCTTTCCTCTCTCTTTCCTCTCCCTCTTTCTTTCCTCTCTTTCTCTTTCCTCCCCTCTCTCTTTCCTCTCCCTCTCTCTCTTTCCTCTTTCCTCTCCCTCTTTCCTCTCTCCCTCTCTTTCCTTCTCCCTTTCTCTCTTTCCTCTCTTTCTCTTTCCTCTCTCTTCTCATTCTCTCTCTTCTCTTTCTCTCTCTTTCCCTCTTTCCACTTTTTCTCTTTCCTCTCCCCCTCTTTCTCTTTCTCTCTCTTTCCTCTCTTTCTCTCTCTCTTTCCTCTTTCTTTTCCTCTGTTTCTCTCTCTTTCTCTCTCTTACAGCAGTATCGTCGGGGGTCCCCGCCGCCCCCGGCCTCTGCGCATCCTCAGCCGAATGGGCGGGGAGGGGAGCAGGATGGGAGGCAGCGGTTCTGGCGGCGGCGGCCTGGCAGCATCGTTGGGGTTCTTCGCCGCCGCCCCCGGCCCGGCCGCCCCGCCAAATCCTCAGCCGAACGGGTGGGGAGCAGGACGGGAGGCAGCGGCAGCGGTAGCACGGCAGCATCGTTGGGGTTCCTCGCCGCTGCCCCCGGCCCGGCTGCCGCGTCCTCAGCCAAAGGGGTGGGGAGGGGGAGCAGGACGGGAGGCAGCGGCGGCGACACGGCAGCATCGTGGGGTTCCTCGCCGCCGGCCCCGGCCGCCGCATCCTTAGCTAAAGGGGCGGGGAGAGGGAGCAGGACGGGAGGCAGCGGCTCCGGCGGCAGCAGCAGGGCAGCAGCATCGGGGTCCCTGCCGTCCCCGGCCCGTCCGCCGCCCCCGCTGGGACTCCGCGCTGCCCGGCCTCACCCTCAGCCCATCGATGGAGCTGCGGTGGAGGCAGCACCCGCCTGAGCCGCCTGGGGGACAGCAGGAGGAAGGAGAGGAGGAGGACGAGGAAGCAGTCGCCCTAGCTGGGACTCCGCACTGTCCGGCCTCGCCCTCCGCCCATCCAATGGAGCTGCAGTGGGGGCTGGTGCCGTGCGGTCCCTGCCAGCCCCTCTGCCAGCCCGGCTGCCCCCCCAGGCACCCCTCTTGCTCCGGCACCCGCGCGAGCCACTTTGGAAGAAGAGGAGGGCAAGGAAGCCGCCGCCAGCGCCAGGCCCCAGGAGACAGCTCTCCTCTCCTACCTTTGCTGAATCTCCTTCTTCCTTCCCAGCAGCCTGGATTCCGGCGCACCTTCCCGGCCAGCGGGTCCAATGGTCGGGCTGGCTGGGGATCGCAGGGGCTGGTCTCCCTTGGGCCGCGGCTTTCGGGAGGGCTGGCCCGCTCAGCGGAGCCTCCAGCGGGCCTCTCCCAGCAGGGATCCCGGGGCTTGCCTGGGCGGCTCCAAGGCCACGAGGCCGTGGCCGCGCTTCTCTCAGGGGGTGGAGCACCCGGGCGCAGGGCCAATCAGGAGCCCTGCAGGAGGTAAGTCCGCCTGAGAGAGAGAGAGAGAGAAGGGAAGCGAAAGTGCCTCTCTCTCTCTCTGCAAATGGCGGAGGCCGTGCGGAGACAGATGCGGAGCGGTATCTCGGTTCCTAATACCATCGGAAATATGTGTTTTCCGATGGTCTTAGGCGACCCCTGTGAAACAGTCGTTCAACCCCAAAGGGGTCGCGACCCACAGGTTGAGAACCGCTGATTTAGAGTAACATTACTATATTAGTTTCAAGCCTCAAATCTCCAATGCAGACAATATTCAATTTTAGTCTAATGCAATGCAGATAATATTCAATTTTAGCCCTAAATGTAAGTATCTAAGGTTGAAAATCACCTCCTAAATTAAAAATAACTATTTTCTGGAGAGGAGACTTATTGCATTTTTTCTTCTGTTTCATCCACCAAAGGTGATAATAAATTCATGATGACACTAGAACTAAACAATTGTGTCCCTATCCATACAATATTCCTCCTGCAATATCAGGCTTTCAACTACCCTTAAATAAAACCTGGTATATATATATATACATAATTCAGAATACAGACCACATATTTGACTGATATATATGAAGAGAAACTGAGTGTAATAATGATAAATGTAAAACTCAATAAGTACAAGGGCAAGAAGGGAGGGGAAGAATCTAAACTGGAAATCTAACTTGAAGGACAAGAATATTTTAATGGTTAGGGTTTGTTTTTTTTTACTTACCTTGAAGAGATTTCCCCAAGCCTTGACCCAGCTTCCAACCATGCTTCTGTAGCAAGCGGTGTCCAATATTATCCTGACAGACAGAAGAGAGAAACAAACCAAAAATATTCCAATAATATATTCTTCTTTTACAATGACATTTCAACACATGGCGAACAAGGTAATTTTCTACATGTATGCATGCAAAATAAATGAAATAAGAACTACTTAGGGACAACAATTGCCCAATAAAAGGGAAAAGATATTTATATAAAAACAAAACAAAAAACTAGAACACCTGCTGGTAAGATTTTTCCACAGGAACAGAGTTCAGGAAGGATCATCATACTTTCTGATGGTGTGCTGGGCAACTTTTGTGCATAATAGGAAAAAAAGCAATGGGGAAAAATGAAGAAATTGACATTTAAAAAGCATTAAATCAATCTAGTTTATACAATCATATCCATCACCTAAAAAGCACCACTTGATTTTTGTAAAAAAAACAAAAACAAAAAAAACTAACAATGTGTTTAGTTTATTTTTTACTTGTTTGTGTGCCAGACTTTGAAGAGACCACATTAAGTTGTTAAGTGTCAGACTTGCCCCACCACTAGAAACCAAAACACAATCAGAGCAAAATCTATGTTAGATTTGATTGGTTTTTTACAAATTAAAAAAAAACATACATACAAATATCTATATATGTAGTGTATGTGTGTGTATGTGTGTGTGTATATATGTATATATATATATATGTAGTATATGTATATATATATGCACACAGATATATATAAACATATATAAACATATACATATATACAGACACACACACACACATATGTGTATATATATATATACACACACACATACATAACACACACACACGTATATATGAAAATTAAAACATGCAGCCATTATTGAACTGAAAGAATACAGCAAAGTTAGTAAAAATACAAAGTTCAAATTTAAAATATTAACAAATTAGAAATAATTAAAATATATATAAATAAAATGAGCTCAAGCATAGACTGGATGATGCATTACACATATAAACTAACAGAAATACTAATATGTTAGGATGAACAGGCCTAGCAACAGGTTAAAACAGCAAGGAACCATTAGTGCTTGTAGGGACAAAACACAACAAGCATAATGTCTCATCTTTTAAAAAGAAAATCAAAATGGACTGAAATTAATAAGAGGTGTATGTAGCAATTCAATGTTAGCTTTTGACATAAAGATAAAGTAAGAAACTAGCATATACATAGCTAGGATTCCCACGTCCAGTAATATTAACAGGAAGGAGAGAAATTACAGGGAACTATATATGATAATTAATTCTTCCCTAATGAATCTCCCTTAAATACTCTCCCTAAAGTTATTTTCTTCACCTGGAATATAAACTGAAGAAATTAAATATAAATTAACTCCTCCCTTTCTTAACACTATCGTGTATCTTCTTCCATAATCCTTTCCTCTTATTTCAGCAATGGATCTCAGCACTAAACCTGATTTTAATGCTATTAGACAGAAGAGCTTTAAAAATAGAACCATAACTCTATCAATCTATTTCTTCTACCTGGATTCAATTATTCAATATTGTTTCATTTATTTCAGGGATGAACCCTAATTTAAATCCAGCCCTTCAGGTAGCCTTGTAGAAATAGGTGGCCTCTATATCTGTTGGTCTATAAATTCTATCACTCACTAGACCAGACATGGACAATGTGAGGCTCTTATTATTAAGATGTATATTCAGACAATTGTTATCAGTTTAATTGTATGTAAGAATATCCCTGAAATTTGGCCATCATGTAATGATAATGCACCTGTAATGCAGATATAAGATCCCCAGAGTCTCAGATGACAAAGCTAATGAAGTCCTCTTTTCTTAAAATCTCAAACAAATCTACCAGACATACTATAAAACAGCTGATTGGATAAGCCAAGAGTTTGATTCAACGGAGGGCAACTTTGTGTGTGTGTGTGTGTGTGTGTGTGTGTGTGTGTGTATGCAGGTGATAGTTGATACACATATACATAACTCCACGCATATCTACCTAGGCATCAATCCTACTAAAATCAGTGGAACTTATTTTTTAAATAACTACATACAATAGTTTTCTTTTAGGACTACTAGAGGGTTGAAAATAATAGTGGGACCATATATATGAAAAAATAAGAGGCTCATCAACTTCTCCTTTTTCCCAGGTTATCTATCTCCCCCTCCCCCACCTTCAATGATATTTATTGTTTTTTTGCTTCTGCTGTCCATGCTTAGTGTTTGCTTTACTGATTTCTAGTGGCTGAAGGAGCCTGAGAGATTGCCTCTTTGGTTGATATTTTCAATTTAAAACTTTTCTAAATCTTTTTAAATACTGAATTTTCTAAATATAGAAAAATGCAGCCATTTTGGATAGTTATTAACTGAATAGTGTTAGTATCAGACTAATACGTTCTGACAAAAAAAACTGTGTTTCTACTTCCATTCTTGCAAAAACGAACAATTACTGCTCAGATGAGACATTGTGCTAAACATGTTGTGTTATGAGAAGGCACTAAAAAGTAACAGACAAATGAAGCCATTATGCTACTTCCAGAAGCAGTGCAGGTGGAGTGAAAGCATTTCCATACGAACCTGGCTTTAAAAACTGGGCTGTCAAAAGAACAGTTAAATGTAACACAAAGTAAGAAACTGTCCAACCAGCTAGTGGTAATTTGTTGTTTTTAATTTGTTTGTCTTTGTTTTTATTCACTGCTTGCAAATAATGTTTTTAAAAAGAATGAACGCATAAAATAAACACAAGACTAGCAGGGAATTTTAACAGCATTGTGACTGACATTGTGAAAGAGGAGGAGCAGGGAGAGAAACAAACATTAAAACTTAACATAGGGAAAGAGAATAAAACTGAGGATGGTTATACACATTAGCACCACACTTGCCAAGCCACTCAAGAGACTGTGTACTCTTCAACATACAAATTCAAGTTTCTAGTCTATAAAAATCCTATAACTTATGGAGATGTGCAAAATTTTCAGATTTTACATTATTCTTCTGTGGATAAAACAGGCACTCAGATCAAAACATTTCTTTTAAAAAAGTAATAGGTAAGGGTGTTTCACTAGGTATCTTCAGCAATTAACTGTCTCCCACTAAATTCTGTTACACATTTGAGGGATATAGAGATATAAAGGCTTATAAATACAAAGTTCAATTAAATTAGCTCAAAAAGATTTGTGTTTAATACAATAAAATACTGTCACTATCACCTCCTGAGTGGCTCCAAAAGGGATACTGACTGTGCATCAAAGGATTTAAAAGTGGGAACAGCTAGGTGCTATAAAGGGTGCTTCCATGCAAAATAGGAGGAAAAAAAGCCCCAAACAAAAACTTAGAGCTTACTGCATGACACAATGAAGGCAAGAGAGAAAAAGCCCAAGAGTAGTGCTACATCATTCAGCATCTGCAGAAAGCACAATATTTAGAGTGCTTGGCAATATACAGGCTGCTGCTAAGTATCAAATTGGCAGCGCTATACAGATATCATTTTGGATCCAGGGAGTCCACAGATCAGTATAGATGTGCAATGTGATGAAAACTAAATTCCAAAATTACAATATTCTTCTTTTTGCATTCCACAAGGGGGCTTGAGAAATAATTTTGATCAGCATCATCTTGCCTACAATATTGATGGTCATAAACACTAATATATGACATGAGTAGAGCAAGAAAAAAAATATGAAACTAAACTATCTCTCAATAAAATGTTAAAATAGCCTTGCTACTATGAAGCATAATAAATTGATATGGATAAAAGGGGGGATTGTTTGTTAAGTATTTGTTTGTTAAGTATTTTCTAAAACTGCTGCCCTTTCGCAATATAAATGGTTAAAACTGAAATCATTACAGAATAAGAGCTAATTTGTGGGGGAAATCTAGTATCTAGTCAGGCTCTGCATAGCAGAGGATAAAAAAAAAGAAAATTGAAGTAAATAGCCCCTATTTTTAACAGGAAAAGGTATAAAACCTTCTTCCCATATGTGAGTTCCACCTTTTCATTTTTTCCCCAATAGAACTGAAATTGGTAGAGTCTAAGACAGTGATGGTGAACCTTTTAGAAACCGAGTGCCCAAAAACTGGCCTCACCCTGCTCCACCCCCTGCCCCGCCCCCACCCCACCTGCCCACAGGGCCACTCACCATCTCCAGGGCCCATTGCAGATTGCCCAGGCAGCCCAGCAGCGCCATAGTGGCCACGCCCTCTGCCCACGCCCTGCAGCATCAACTGTGCGGGATGGGACATGAGGGCAGAGTCTTGTCTACGCTGCCTGGCTGCCATGTCCTTGGCTGCGCTGCTCCATGTGAGCCACGCTCGGGGACGACTCTCCTCCAGGGGGGCTGCTGGTGAGGAGGGGGTCGTGGGGGAAGGCGAGGCTGGGGCAACGGCACGTGTGCCCACAGAGAGGGCTCCGAGTACCGCCTCTGGCACACGTGCCATAGGTTCGCCACCACTGGTCTAAGAGGTATCAGACAAGGATTCAGCTTCAGTCTCATCCCTTAGTCTTTGTTAAAAGAGGATTTTACAAGAAATCAGCCTGCCCCAAAGTATAATACTTCATCTTAAGCAACTTTTAAACAAGTTACTTTTGAGCCAAAAGTGAATGCTAGAATTACATGGTTGTATAGTAAATAATTTTCATTTTGTTCTGTCACTCAGAATAAGACAGAGATTAGAATATCACTTTTCCTATTTCCTGAATATTTTCTGAGTGCTGTCTATATTTGTAATAATCAATTTTTAAAAAGCATCCTAAGGGTTATACCCCACTGCTTCAATTGACCAGAAGAATGGACACAACTGGCTGTTCAGATTTTCTTTGCCTCACACAGCTACTAAAGTTCTCTTAAACCTTCAGTTCTGGGAAATGAGGAACAGATTTGCTGTTCATAGGGGTAGATGGTAAATTTGTGTCCATATGGGTGGAATATTATTAGATCTATCAGCAGAATAGTAGCCCTAGATTTAATCCTCTCACAATTAACACTACAAAATAAGATAGGTTACCAAAAATAAGAAAAAATATGAAGATAAGCTGACTTCTATAAAACCAGGTGCTTAAAGAATGTTCCAACTTGGAGGGATTCATCCCATTCTTAAAATAACTAGTTTTTTGGTTAAAGGACTGATAATCTGAAATCTCTTCAAACCTGCGGATTCAGTTACCTAGTTACCAACCTAATTTCCTTTCTCAATATTAAGCAATATATTCTCTCATAATAGTATCACAAAGGAAATGGACCTAAAACATAAGCTTACCTGTGTGTATAGCACAGTAGTGGAAAGTAAGTTCCTTTTCCTATTTTCATTACCAAATGATGAATACTAATTTCAACTGCATCATTCTTAATCAATGCAGTGATCTGCAGACTCCCAAACCAATCTTTTTACAGCTACCATCCAGTTCTGTTCTGTAGCAATACAAATCAGGATCACATCAAACGATAATGCTGCAGAGCCACATATAAATTTAACTGTGTTCCCAAGCAAAGCCATTCCCCAGAGAATTTTCTAAAATTATCTGTGCTCCCCCTTCGATTTTACTGCCAGATCCAATTGATCCCAATAGTTTTCAACAAGTTAAACCCACTTATACTTTAGAAGACTTTACCTATTATTGTCCAGTGCTATGTAAAACCATTTTTTAGTTCCAGCTGAAAAAAAGGATTTTATTTACTAGGAAAATGTTTACAACACAAATAAACATTACTGTATTACTACCTGAAAGTGAACAAATACTTTGTGAAATAAAATCTTAACTTTTGCACCAAATATAAGCACATGAAATAAATATGTAATGCAGCACAATGTTTAGTACTTTCATCACTAGACAAAAAAGGGAACAAAAGAGTTGACAAAAACAAAAGTAATTCACTTTAAAACCAACCCACAGTTGGTTCCTCTAGCTTCCTGCAAGAACCATCCCTCTCTATGAGCTGGCTGCTGGCTCTGACATTCGCCTGCAAAAACAGTCAGAGCTGAAAAAATAAAGGCAACCATTGAAATAGCAAGTCACAAGACATTCTTCTAAACATTGGATTTAAATTATGGTGAACCTGTAAAAGTATTTTTCTCCTGTTAATGATTAAACAATCTTAATTATTTTGTTAATACCTAAAAGTCAGTTGATTAAATAGTTTTTGGTCTTTTCAGATCTCAATTCTATCCTCATATATTTATCTTAATTCCTCTCTGAAATTTTCTGAAATATTTCTGTAAAGGGCAGAATTCACATACCCATTAAATCCTAACTTTTGTTTATAAGCCACAATGGGTTTTATTTGTATTAGAATAAAGCAACCTTTGTGCTTTATCACAAGTCATTTTTTTCAAGAAGTGGTATAACAACAGTTACCTACTTTAATAATCAAGAGAAGTTTTGGTTGAGATCACACCAGTTTTAAATTTCTAAACATCAGAGACAGCCACTGAATTCCAAAAATCTAGTTCAATTTTTTTTACATCAACTCTGAATAACCTATTTTTGAGATAAATTATGATGACTGAAAATAGGTTGACTTAAATCTGAGTTCTATAAATTCGTATTTATTTTCCACTAAAATCAATGAAGTTTAAATAGGATCTGTAATAAATTTGTCCAATTCCAAAATTTAAATAACTTATTCTGGATCCAAACAATACAAAGAACAAGAATTAATCATTTGCAGAAAGTTAAGAAAAGGATATAGCATGGAGCACTTTAGCAGTACTTACAGATTCTAGAATCTTTACTCCTGAGAAAGAATGTAAACTCAAAACATGTTTTTAGACTTTTGGGAAAGTTGGTTTTTAAGAATATGGATTTAGTTTATTATGCAGATCTGTGGGTCAGAATCAAATATTTGGGCACTTATGATCCTTTGAAAGTTACAATGTGTCTTGATGCACCGCAATGAAATAGCACTGGGGCTTTCCAATTACATTTCTTTTAGGATGGTCAGCAATATATATATATATGTTATGAGCATTATGATTATGGATCACAGAGGCATTTACCTTGTAATAACATTTCCAATATGCCATACAATATTGCTCCAATACTAACTATTTCATGACATTTGCACAGAGGGAAACTGGCTTTGCATTTCAATTGATGTGTGTGCTTATGCATGCAAACAAAACTGAATTATTCAACAGAATCAAATGCAGCTGCATCACCATTCTTCCCACCCTCTCTGCAGCATTATTTCTTGTGTCACCAATGATTATCATGCCTAATTCTAGCATCATGCCAGCACAATGAATAGATACTGAATGCAGTGTTTGTTGAACAGAAGAACAGAAATAAGAAAGGGGAAAGGGGGGGGGGGGCGGAGAAAGGGGAAGGAAGAAAGGAAACCCTAGAAAAGAAATTAAAAATGCAGACCGTGCAAATACAAACCAGGTCATGGCTGCTTAGCTAATTTGGACCAACTGCTGTGAAAGAAAAAATGTCGAACACCCCAAGTTGTGTAAATTTCTGTGAACATCTCAACACGCACACAAATACACACACAAACATCGATCTATTAAACAGGAAAGCAGGTATATATATTTAATCTGTGTATATATTTTAATCTGTGTAGGTATGGATATAGATATATACACAGATTAAAAATATATAGAATATATGGCTTCTTAATACTGTAGATTTTTAAGCATTCATCAATGCAATGAAATTTAGAATAATTTTCAACTGCCTTAACTTCACAGCTGAGGGCTATATGCATTAATGATCAAAAGAAGATACTACATTGTGAAATGGTAGGAATTGACTTAATATAGGTAAGAAATAAATACTGTGGTTTGAAAAATAATTAATCAGAAAAGTTGAGGAAGGCAACCACTGCTAATAATGATGGCTAAGTTACCCTGCCATTCCAATATAAGTACGGTAGTCCTCGACTTACGATCACAGTTGAGACCAAAATATCTATTGCTAAGCGAGACAGCTATTAAGTGAATTGTGCCCCATTTTATGACCTTTCTTGCCACAGTTATTAAGTGAATCACTGCAGTTGTTAAGTTAGTAGCACGGTTAAATGAACCTGTCTTCCCCATTGATTTTACTTGTCAGAAGGTTGTGAACATGACCCTGGGACACTGCAATCCTCATAATTATGAAACAGTTGTCAAATGTGAACATATGACCAAGGGGATGCTGCAACGGTCGTGTGAAAAATGGTCATAACGTTTTTTTTCAATAGTATTGTAACTTTGCAATGTCACTAAATGAACTGTTGTAAACTGAGGACTACCCATACTAGATTCAGACAAAGGTCCATGTGGCCTTGTTCTCTTCCCTACAGTTTTAGATAATCTACTTTTGAAATAATAAAAAAGAAACAAGGCAAAATAGTAGTATTCTTAGGGCTCCATTGATTCCAAGACTCCTAAGATTCCAGGATCTCATGGAATTGCCTTTATTACTTATTTCTTAGTTCTTTAATATAGAATTCCCTTACAGATTATGCTAAGAACCGATCAAACTATGTGTCTACCCGTAGTACAAAATTCCAAGGACAATTACAATTTGCATGAGGGAGAGGAAGGTAATCAAGGTGGCCCTTGTTCAACAATTATTTGTTTAGCAATTGTTTGAACTTATGACAGTACTGAACAAGTAGTGGTTATAACTATATTTATATCCTCATATTTATAGCCATTGGAGCTTTGTCCTCATCACTGTCATGTGATCATGATTTTCTTGTCAACTTCTGACAAGCAGTCAATAGGAATAGAATAGAATAGAATAACTTTATTGTCACTTTGAATGTACACTAATTGGCATACATTAAAATGAAATTTCGTTGCATACAGCTCTCAAATGGGAAGCCATCAGGAAGTCACATGTCACAGTAACATGTCATCATTTAATGATAGCAACCAGGACTGCCAGAACAGGCATGGTCATGTGACTTTTAAAAATTTAAAACCGTGTTGTTTAACTTAAGTTTCCAGTCCCAATTAGCATTGTTAAGCAAGTGCTACCTGTAAGCAGGAGGTTGGCAAATGCAAACCTGTTCTGAGACTAACAGGTGATGACAAGGTTAGGGTGCTTGGGGACTCCTAAGCTATAAGATATTGCACATCCAAAAAACTAAAGGGATATTCTTTATTCCAGTTCTGAAAATACTGGAAGGAGGGAAGTTACTTAGTTTTTATTTTTAGAGCCTCATCCAAATTCTTTAAACTGCTGAATTTCAAATAGATATTTATGCATTAGAAACTTTTTCAGAAGAAGAAAGCAATACATGATATGAGGAGAAAATTCAAAAATGAAAGATACATAAAAGAAAGAACAAGTGGAGAAGCACACAAGGCAGCGATTTCATCTTTCCTTCTCTGTAGCTTTTCTCTAGCAAATTCATAACAGAAGATCTTTTAAAATATAAAAAACTATGACAGTAATATTATTTTGTGATTGCCACTTATTTATGCTAATGTTGCTGTTTTTATTCTGTATTCTCCTCCCCTAGGCCAAACTAAATATATAAGACTTCTCAGTGTTCATTAATCTGGAAATTAAAGTAGTTATTTTGTTATCTGTTAGGCTTTTGATTTATTAATGTGATTTAAATACTTTTCAAAAGAACATTTAATGATCTATTTTATTTTAACATTAATGTAAGATAGGCAAATATACTAATATTCTAATAAGAATGTGACTAACCAAGCTGCATTTAAGACAAAGAATATGTGAGTACTACCTGGCCTTGTCAGGGGCTTGAAAATAAAAAAAATATGTCTTACCGACTCTATAGGCTTGTCTAATGATGCCTGCTCAATCTCCAAGTGGCCTTCTTCATACTGATCGAAGTGATTACCCTGCAAGAGAAGAATCATATATTTGTCCCTCATTGTGACATAAACAATTTTGCTTGAGTTACTGTTAAAATGCTCACTAACAATTACTACCTATAGTTTCTCAGCCTACTTCATCTATTAATTATAAGCTTTGTATTAGCTCAGTATTATCAGTTTACTATGTCTTAAAAGACAAAGAATTCTAATCTAGTTTTCAGTATCTATCACATAATACAACAACATATTTTACTAGACTTTAAATATCTTGAGATTACTTACTGATACGCCAAATCACCCAAACGTAGTTGTTGCTCCACAGAGCAACAGTTAACTGAATGTTAGATAAAGATGCATCACATTTCAAAGCAATTCAGTTCTCATATTTTGCAAATCTCATGTAAAGCAAACTCATTAAGCAGTTATTAAAATAAATTTTATAAATATCACAATAACATAGTATGACTATAAGTATCTATGCTGCCACGAATAAATTTCTATAAAAGGCAAATATAGCTTAGAATAGTTATAATTTTTTAATTTTGCCATATTTCTTTAGCCTCAAATATTTTTATTTGATTTTGAATCTGTTTATTAATATTCACAAATTTGAAAAACTAGATATTAAAAAAATTCCAAAGAATTAAAGTCCACAATTTTTGTTTCTATTTCTCTATAGTGAACTCTTTATTAAATCTGTTGAGATTGCTGGCCAAAAACAGAAGCCAGAATCACAATTTTATTTTACATTTATGTACACCCTGAGATTTTCAGCTGCTTTTTTCCTCTGAGATTACATTTTTATTGTTGTCTGTGCCTACTAAAACTAGCACCTCTTTAAGAATTATTGCAAAAGTAACAACTGTACATACTAGTAATATTTGCAGAACTGAGACTGCTGAAAATTTGCCCAAATGCAGGCTTTTTCTATAGAGAATACACTGTCTTTGCCTTGGGTACAAGGGATGTTTTATCTGGACGTTCAGATAGAATTCTGATTCATTGCATCTACAGTTAGCTAACTGGGGGGGGGGGGGTGTCAATCAAAATTTTTCTGTAAAATTTAAACTCCTAAATAGTTTATATTCTGACAATTTCAGAGACAAGATTCTCCTGCTATGAACCTACCCAATTAACTAGATCAGATCCTAATGCTTTCACCCCCTCCCCCACCAGCAGCTCCTCTATCTTAAGTCAGAGGTGCTAACCTGATCAGCTACAGGTAATGGAATACATTCTTTAAGGAAATACATTTGGTTTCCCACTCATCCAGTATATTGTAAGCTGTCAAAACCTCACATCCTTCATTAAGACTAATTTCTACAATATTATCTTTTCCATTTCTCTTGCTTTTAATTATCTTGGTATTATTTCTAAATTTTATCATTTGTATTTTTAATGATCATAGTGTAAAATATGGAGATAATCTTGAAGAAGGAATGCAATTAATATTAAAGAAACAACAGCACACTCCTGGGAAAGACAAAGGGGATAAGAAACTCAAAATAATCGCACCTGTTTGGTATAAGAGGGGGCAGAGAAATACTCTGACAGGTTTTCAATTTTCTATTAATATATCCTACTTAGACAATCCATATTCTCTTGGATTATCATATCAGAAGTACAGTATTTTCTTACCCAAACAAAAGGAACACAGCAATCAAGGGCAGGCAAAAAAGTAATGGGATCAGAAGCGACTTCTGATTTCGGCTGTTTCCTTGGAAGTATCTGGCAGGGAGCATTAGAAACCTTCCTTCCTTCCCTTCTTTCTGCCCTGCCCCACCCTACCCAGCAGTCATATAAGAAGCTGCTGCTGGGTAAGGGAGTAAGAGAGTTAGTGAAGGGGATTGCAAGATAGGGAAACTACCACAAAACTTGTTTACAGCAACAGCCAATAGCACTGAAGCATTACTTCCCCTCAGGAGTCATGGATCTGAATTTTGGACACATTTTGTAAATTAGCCCATTGGTTCAAAAATTGTTGCCCTACAATGCACCATTTCACCCAGAAAGGTGATAACAATGAGAATTTTTGAACTATATAGATAAGGACTCAAAGGACTATCAAATCAGGTGTGTGTATGTATGTGTGTGTGTATACATATACACACACACACACACACACACACACACACACACACAGAGTAAATAATTATATCATTTGTTTTGGAAAAATATATCTTCCATTATTGCATATTAATTGTACTGTTTAAGTTCTATATAAATTTAATCATGTGACCTTTAACTTGCTCAGTCTACATCGTATTTCAGCAACAATATATGTATATACTCTAGATCAGGGGTGTCAAACTGCTGGCCCGTGGGCTGGACGCGTCATCCAGAAGCCACATCCACCCCATTGCTGGCAATGGCAAAACCACCCTGATACGTTGCGCGATGTCACGTGACGTTGCGAGTTTGACATGTCTGCTCTAGATGTTTTGTAGTATCGGTTATCGGTATTTGAAATTCAATCAAACTGAATTTGAGGTTTTCACCTTGTCTTTGTAATTTCTTCTAGATTACTGCTCATTTGGAGATAATAAAACCACATCTACACTGCTGAAATTCTAAGAAAAAAGTTTTGAATGATTCCATTTTTGTTCTGCTAATGATTAAATCTAGTAGACAATAGATTTTCTTTCCATTGATTTTAAAATATTTCTTCATGAAAATATACATTTAACATTGGATAGAAAAAATAAGTCCATACTATAATTTTTATAGAAAACTTTTTATATTTATGTAGGCCTCGCCCGAGTTCTGCTTCTTCCAACATGCAATGCAGCTTATGTGGTGCTAAAATCCAGTCTGTGTTCCAGATCAAATAGATGACCTGACAATATATTTTCAGATTTGGTATATACTGTTCTGCTTTCTTTTATATCTTGTAAAGTCTTAAATTTAATTCTTATAATATCTGTTGCTACATCAGGCCTAGGGAATATCATTTTTCCCAAGGTCAGGTGGCTCTGACTTTGAATGACTTCTAGAAGGATCTGAAGATCTGGCTTGCTATGTGTCCTGGAGATCACAGAGAGGAGTTGTGAAGCCCAGAAATGTTTGATATCACACATAAGAAGCATGACTTAAAACTTCTCCCCACTTATACTTACCCATTCCATTATGCCCGGAAATAGAGATCTTGTGGGTCCAACTAGCTAGGGAGTATCATTGGGTGGAACCTAGGAAGAAACATTTTCTGCCACAGCTACCACCATGAGAAGCATCACTCCCCCATATGGCCTTCTAGAAGGCCCTTAAAACATGGGTTAGTCAACTAGCTTGGGGATCATGCGGTAGAGGGAAGCTGTTAGATGGATGTAATGTAATGGTATGACAATTAATGAAATGTACTCTGAAAGTTGCCTGCCATTTTGCTTTTTGTTTTATTTTTTTTCATGTTTTTATACATTCTTGATTATTACTATGTACACTGCCCAGAGGTACTATGTGAAATAGGTGGCAATACAAATGTGATTAAATAAATAAAAACAAATGTTGCCTAAAATGCCACAGCATTTTCAGCTACTACAAATTTTTGAATATTTAATTTAGCATCTCTGATTCAGTGAATAAATGCTAAGAAATCTGATACACCAATCTACATTTTGTATTTAGGCTTTTTCCCTAGTAACTTAAATTATTTTAAAAAATCCGAATTAAAATCCTTTTCAATCACAATATGATTCTATTTAGAATTAAAGTTTTAGATTTGATTTGTCTAATTTTGGGTTCATACTAATTGTATGAACTAACTGATTTCTTTTTTTTTCAAACAAGTTTTATTAATTTTTCAAATTTTAACATCCAAATACTTAGGAAGCAGCGTGGTGCTAGGGCAGGGGTAGGCAACCCAAAACACTCAAAGAGCCACTTGGACCCTTTTCCCACCGAAAACAAAACACTGGGAGCCGCAAAACCCTTTTGTCCTCTCCTCTCCAATTGCTGTTGTTTTCTTTGTGCGTGTGTGGGTGCCTGGAGATCCGCTGTTCATCCGCTCCCAGTCGTCCCTCCCCACCCCCTCATTCATCTTAGTTTGCCTCCGTGCTGTGCTATCTAGCGTGTGTGCTTCAAGCTCTGTTCTTCTATTTGCCAGACCTGTTGCTTTCCTTGCCTGTGTATAAACCGACGATGTCGGTAGTGTGGCCAACGAAAGCTTGGTTTTGTAGATTAAACATTTGTGTTTATGATTTTATCCTGGTGATCACCTTATTTTACTTCTCATTATGTATATACCCGGGATTCATGTTTTTAATACTATTAAGGGGACACACACACACACACACACACACACATATATATTAAAGGTAAAAAAAGATATATGCAGTGTTATCTTCATTTTAGATGTCAAAAGGGTCTGTCTCTCTCCTCTCTCTTTCTCCCTCTCCAAGAGAAGCTGCCCTCCTCTCCATCCGGCGCCCCCTCCCCCAAAGAAATTGGCTGGCAGAGTTTGTCAATCACCACTCTTCCTCTTCCTCCTCCTCATCCCCCCACATTCTGGCTTCAGCACAGAGTTTGCACCAGAAGAAGGAAGAAACGGGGCGCTTCCCCCCCACCCGCTGTTTCTCTTCCTCTCTTCCTTCTCCCCTCACTTCTTCAGCGCGTGTTTGCTGGGAGCCCACCCAGATTTGAGCATCTTGGATTCCGACTCTTCCTCCCACACTCCCCACCCCCATGGATCCCTTCTTCCTCCCCAACGCCCTCCCCCCACCCCAACACCGGCACTGCCCACCCCTTTTCCTATCCTTCCCATGAGCGTGCGGGGGCGTGTCTAGCTTGCGATGGGATCAGCATGGAAGGCAATGCCGCTGCCACGAAGAGGGTAGCAGCCCCGGCGTCCAGACGCAGTAGCCAGAATGGTGGCTGAGCGCCCCCCGCCCCTATTAAGCTCTCCCCTCCCTGGGCATGCACGCTCAGAGAGAGAGAGAGAGAGAGAGAGAGAGAGAGAGAGAGAGAGAGAGAGAGAGAGAGACTGGCCCAGGACCTCCCCTCTTCCAGCCAGGACCCTGGTGAACAAACCT